GGGGCGACAGGATCCAGGGGGGGCGCGCGCTTCCATCGGATCCGGAGATCCAGGATCCGAGGCCCATGTCTGCGATTGTCCCTTGTCTCCTTGGCCTTGGATGGGATGCGGCGTCCGATCCATGGCCAAGGGAGCCGGGGAGCCTGGAAGTGCTTCTCGCGCTCCCAGTCTCCTCGAATGGCCTGATCCACGCGAAACGCGTCGAGGAAGGGCGGAGGGCTGTCGCCTTCCGCCTCTTCCTCGACGCTTGTTGCCCCTCGGGCGCGCTGGCTGCCGCCCGCGCCTCTGCGACGGCGGCTCTGGACAGACGCGGCGGAGCCACGGCCCCCCGATAAAACACTAGTTATCGGTGTCCACGGCCTCTTGACCACCGTCGTCGCTGTCCTCCATGACGTCGCCGGTGGTGCGGTTGAGAGGGTGTCCTTGAGAACACACTCTGCCGACGAATGTTCCGAGCCCTGTAACTGATACCGCCACTTGCGAACCGTAGATATGGGGCGCTGGGATCCATGTGTGGGGGGGTAGCAGCCTCCGAGATGGGGTCCGACTACCATGGATTGGAGGATCGCGCCGCATCTCCGACGCATCGGTGATGCATCGGCGACGCCAGCGTAGAGAAACTCGTGCTCCACATCAAGCCGCATCGGCGCAACCCTCCGATCCCATCTACTCGGACCCCAAGTGGGAGCCCGAGAGGGGAGGAGGTGAACGAGGAGTACCTGCGATGTTGGATCTTTTCGCGACGTTGGATCTCAGGGTAGGGAGGAGGAAGAGGAGGAGGAGGGGGAGGACGAATGGCAGCAAGGGGAGGGAGAGGGGGAGGGCGATGGGGGAGGAGAGGGAGGAGGAAGGGGAGGCAGTGCCACTTTGTGACTAACAGACACAAGCCAGTTTGAAGAGAGCTTGGGACGTGGAAAAAACGAGAAGCGCCACATACTTGTTTGCGGCCGCTGCCGCAGAAAACGGAAGCGCCTCACCCCCGCAGCGCGGGAGGTGGGGTGCACTCGTCACAAGCCTGCCCGGTGGTCGCGCAAAAGCAGGGTGCCGCCACGCGGCGCTTTGCCCATTCGACTCGCGCACCGCGCCCCCGCCCTTGTCGTGGCGGTCGCGGTGCCAGGCCCAGGTCACAGTTCGGACCCCCCCCCGCGCCCTGACATGAACTCGTGCAGGCCTTCGCTCGCCGAGCTCCTGATGCGCAACCCTCTCACGCCACCGTGGGCCCTCACCTCGGACCCTTGCCGAAATGGCCGTCGCCTTACTCCTCCTCCTCCTCCTCCTCCTCCTCCTCCTCCTCCTCCTCCTCCTCCTCCTCCTCCTCCTCCTCCTCCTCCTCCTCCTCCTCCTCCTCCTCCTCCTCCTCCTCCTCCTCCCGGCCAGCGCTCTTGAGCGCGCTGACGCCCATCGGGTCGCCCGCCGACTCGCTGCGTGCCGCGCTCCTGACGCCAAGCTGGCTGCACTGCGCTCCCGCGTCGCAACCACTTCCTCCTCATCCTCCTTCCCCTCCTCTTCCTCCTCCCCCTCCTCGCACCCCCGCCTCTTCATTTCATGTCGGCGGCTGTCCTCAGCCTCCTGGCGGGCCTCCTCGGAGCTTCCCCCGCTTCCGGCTCCTCTCCAGCGCCGCGCTGTAGCCCGCGCGCATGGCGGAGACCGATTTGGCCATCGCGGCTACGACGCCCTGAACCGACTCGTTGGCCCCCCACAGCAGGTACCGGTGGAACGCGCCGCTGCTCTACCTTCCCGACCTCTTCACCACCTCGGTGTCGCCGTAGTGCTTGCACAGAGCCGCGGCCCCTCCGATCTTCAGCGAGGGAGCCGAACTGCGAAGCCAGGTAGTTTCCCGCCACTTCCGCCCAATTCAGCTCCTCCCGGATCCCTGCCTCGACCCCCGGCAGCCGTCTGCCCGCCGCGCCAACGGGAGGTCGGCTTCCTTCCCTCCTCAAGGCGAAATGGCGCGCCGGACCGCCCGTGCACTTCGCCGCCGCGCGCAGACCAGCCAGCACCCTGCGATGGCCCCATTATAGCTCGCATAGGCGGACTCCCAGACTCAAGAAGGAAAGCCGTAATGATCAGGTCGTAGAGCACCGCGTCATTCGGGTTCATCCAGGGGTTCAGTCGCCCCTTGATGTTCCCACTTTGACTGGCAACTTCACCGCTCCTGGGCCCTGCGGCCTCTCGGCGCCGTTCAAAGCCATCCACAAGCGCGGCTTGCCCACCGATGAGTCTGGTTCACCGAGCCACGCATATTGAACCCGCGCTCCTGGCAACTTGGCGCGGATCGCGCCGCGCCCGCGGTGGAGGTTGCTCTTCCGGCGAACCGCGAACAGCAGCAACTCCTCATCCCCGCGCTTCTCACGATTGGCCCAGCCGTCCACGATGGCGCTCTTCTCGCGAATGCGGCATAAGACGTTCCATTGCTGCTGGGCGACGTCGTGGCTGCCCTTGGCGCCCTTGACCACCGAGGCCAGCACAGCCCAGTGGCCCGCGCCCCTCAGCTCCACCACGTACATGACTTGCCCAAGCGCCCCTGCTCGCTTCGAATCCTTTGCCGCCTGGACGCGCTCGGCCTAGCTGAAACCGCGCTGCTCGCTGCCAGCCGCCCGCGCGTGCTCACTCGCGCCCCCCGGGCCAATCCGCGCGCCCGACAAGTCGCGCGCCCCTGACTCTCCGCCTGCCTCCTGGCCACGCCTCCTCCGAAAAGGCCACCAGTGCCCCGGCGCCCTCGGGGCCCACCGTGCCTCGTCCACTCCCCTGGCTCGACCCCCTCCGAGGCCATTGGCCCCGCCGCGCTGGCGGCCGCCTCCTCGTCGCCTCACTTCGGGCTCAGATCCCAGGGCGAGCCTCTTCTGCAACTGCGACGTCGGCCGAATCATTGGCGCCCTCGTCGATCCCGCCCCCCGCCAGCGCGCGAATGGGCCCTGCATGCTCGTCGCCGCTACAGTCGGGCCCTGGCGCTCCAGCAGTGCCGCGATCATTGTGCGATAGTAGCGGTTCGGGTTGTCCAGCTCGCACGTGTCCGGCAGGTCGAAGAACGGGTCGCCTGACTCAGTCGCCGTGGGGGCCGCGAACAGGCCGTCGGCATTGCTGTGCTGGTCCTTGTCGCACACTCTCAACGCCCTCTCGACCGTCCACTGGGGCTCCTCCCCCGCCGCCACGAGTTGAGCTCCTTCCAGCCGTCCTGCGCGCACATGCTCGCGTCCTTCCGCGGCCCCCCCTCATGCTGCCTGATGAGGGCGCCCAGTGCCTCTGGCCACTCCCACTTGATCTCGCCGTGCGCCAAGCAAGCCACTCATGTGCCAATCCGACCCTGCTTGGCCCGCCTGAGCATGTCCGCCAGCCGCTTCGGGCGCCCCACCAGCGGGGCCTCGTCGTCGAATGCCCCTCCAGGCAGGTGCCCAATTCCGCGGCCCCAAGGGGCCAACAATTGGAGGGGCGAGTGCCCCTCCAATTGTTGATAAGATGGAGAGGAGATCGGGCGCCCTCGAGGGCGCCCGATCTCCTTTGCATCTCGGCAGCCGATCCCTCGCCGCAGTAGCCTTCATTGCCTGGGCGGGGCCTCGGGTCGGAGGCGGAGTCGGCGCGGGGTGCCCAAGGCCCGCCGCGCCCGCAACTGGCGCCGCGCGGCTGCGTCCGCGCTCCGGCGGCCCCCACCGCAGCGCCTGGCAGCCGCCTCCACTGCTGGGCCAGCGGCTGGGCGACCCTCATGAGGGCTCGGCCAGGTGGGGCAGCGGCGGCAGCTGCTTCCCGATGGGCTGCCTCAAGGCCGCCATCCACCTCTCCTCGCGCACCGCTCGCTTCACGGCGCTCGTTCGCCATGGGCTCCAACCTTCTGAGGTTCCTCAGCTCCTCGATCTCCACGCAGCTACAGCGCTCCGCTAGCACGGCTATAAAAGACCCCCCGACGGCTTCACGTGCGTCGCGTCGAAGCCCCCGGGGAGCTGAAGCCGCTCAGCGACGTCGGGTGGGCGGCCCCTGGGCAGCTCTTCCGGCGCTCGATGCCGATCGCGGTGGCATCGCCGCCCCCGTGCCTCGGCCGCCGCGCCGCCAGCCAGGAGACCCAGCTCCGCCCTGGAAACGTTGGCCCGAGGGCTCCGCGTGGGCACCTTTCGGTGCACCGCTGATGCCTCGCCCTGAAACCTCACTACTGGGGAACGCCTTCGTCGCGGGCGGCCCCCCTCATCCTCCGTCCGAGTAGGGCTCCGACTCGATCCGCGTGGCCCCGTTGCGGGCGCCCCCTTGCCCCCCCTCGCCACCCCCCGGCGCGCCTCGAGAACTCCTTGAGCGACCGCGCGCGGCGCATCAGGCGGGGGAGAAGCCCGCCGTCGTCGCGACGCGGGCGAAGCAGAACGCCGTCGCGAAGGACTCGTCCGAGGTGGACGCAACCCACGCGAGCGCACTTCTTTAGAGGGCAGAATTTCCACCCCCACAGTAATCACCCCGACACGGGAAGCCGCTTAGTAGACGCACCCGCAGAAGAAACTGAACAGGGCAGGGCTGTTTAGTAAACAGCCCACGGCCGTTTAGCAAACGCCAAGTGTCTGGTCCGGTTTGATGTTCCCCCCTTGGTTATTGACGCCGCGCTTCGTCAGGCACATGCTGCTGCGGTGCTAGAGCAAGTTAACCATGCGCGCGCCTCCTCGGATGTTCGACTTCTCGCCATCGCCAAGCGAGAGTTGCGCCGCGTCGCCTCGGGCCCAACCCCGACAAATCGCATTGCTCAGCTGGGGGATTATGTCATGTCACGGCGCCGCGGCGGCCGTGCGATCGGCGACCTCCAGCTCCGACTCCGAACTTGGATCGGGGAGCGAACCTGCCGTTTGGTCGAAGGCGGGCACCGCGCCCGACAGCCTGACCGACCGCCATGACCAGGCGCTCCTCGGAGCTCGACACAAACCATCAAACCAAGCGCCCCGCGCCCGCGACTGCAAGCCCACGCCCCGGCCCCCACAGCTCGCGCTGCCCAGAGTGGGCGAGGCGGGGCTGCCACCAAAGCCTCCAAGTTG